CAGCTTGAAATCACTGTTGCAGTTGAAAGTAAACCTGAAAATTAGATTAGTGAAGGAACCAGGTCAGCAGAAATGAACTCCACTCTCTCCAGTCCGATAAGGATCACTGCCTACCCTAACAAAAATAAAAACCAACTTTAAATGCATGCATAGGTATATGTAAAAAATTGCCACACACTCCCCTTTATGCTTTTAGTAATCACATCAGAACAAAAACCTTCACCCTGTACAAGAAAACCTACTACCTTCAGAGTCTGCACGTGGCCCTAATGAAGCAGAAATGTGTGTCTAAGTCTGACTGTACTCTCCCATACGTCACAGCAGACTCCAGCAGCCATCTGTTGGAAGGATGCTGTGCCTATATATAGCCAGACACCACCACGATAGAAAGAAAAACTCATATCTGCACCTAATTCAGCGTGTGCACTATTGGCAGATCTGCAAGCACCGTTTTTTTTACCGGCCAAACAAGTGTTCGCTCCACAAATATCCTATCTAAAAATGATACAAACTTCAATGTAAAATTATCTGGAACAAGAAAGTAACTTGGTTGTTAAAAGGAGCACTAACAGGTGGGAAAGCAGCTTCCAGATACACAGATTTTATGGGCCATTTGCAAGCACAGTTGATTTCATCCCAATTTAATGTGCCAGTCTGCCAAAACAGCAAATAGAAAAAAAACAAAAATCCCAACAAACTATATTCAGTACACTTCTAAAAGTTGGCCAAGTCTTATATAGATACACCTCAAGAGATCAAGGACAACTCAGAGATGACCTGGGAGTCTTGCACAAGGAGTCAATTGCAGCCCTGGTGAGAGTTTCTCCTTCAGAGGCTCAGGATCTGGACACACCCCAGGACGTGGGAGGTGACATCCTGGAATGAAGAACTGAAAAGAAAACTCCTCACAGGAAACCAAATGGGTGCTACCACTGTTTTTTGATTCTCTTCTCCTCAAAAACAGGAGTAATGGGGCCAGCAAAAGTCAGGCCAGCAGTAGCAGAGCCATGCAATTGCATGTGATTTTTTTCATTTTAGATTTAAATTATTTGGAGGGGGGAACTGAGTGAACAAACTTGGATATGCCTGGGACAGCAGGGGGAGCTGCGAGTCTGCATTCCTCTGCAGGTCTATTTAATTGCATTGAATATTTGGACAAAAGCACATCACCACAGAAAGATGCCTGCTTGTCTAACAAGCCTCAGAAAAGCAAGTTCATAACAAAGCATTAAACAAGGAGCAACAGATAATTGTCACCTTCTCTCACTAGATAATAAAAATAGTTACATCATAAACATAAAAATCTTTTAAAAGACCCCTGACAGCACTCCCTCCTGGAAATATCACCATAGCAATGAGCATCCAGCTACAGGGGAAGTATCACTGAATCCTGTGCTTGATATTTTCAAGTAACTAAAAATACTAACTGGCAAAAATACGCATGGGTGATGTAGAATGAGGCACACAAACATAAAGAGCCTTCAATGAAATTAAAGGTGGCAAATTCCACCTGCAAATCTTTAATATCCCAAGAAAAAATCCTTTCACCAGGCAGCATACATTGAACGAGTGCCTGCAGATAACTGTAAACACATCTGATAGCTGCTGTGTCCAACAATTCCTATTTGGAACACTTTGCACAGGTTTGTGTAGAGGCTCAGTGGCAGAATTGTGTGAAATCCAAGGCAAAGGTGCCTGTTAGAGAGGCAATAAAGAGCCATACTAGCAGAGCCGTATAGGAAACCTAAGACTTGGAAAAGCAGGGAATCTTGAATGTTAAGATTTAGGCACACAGCAGCACTCTAGGGAGGGGTGCTTGCAAAGCGAAAAACTGTGTCTCCTCAAGCTGGTTCCATTAAATACATCTTATTTCCATGCCATTCAGATCAAAGTTAAGATTAAACGAAGGAGGGAAGAGTTTTAAAATTCCTTTCCCAGATGCAGATGTCAGGAGCACACACAAAAGCAGGTGCTGGGTGTATTGATCCTACTGAATACGCATGGAGTGGGTACTTGAGCATGTACCAAGCATCTGTGTCTGGGAGATGGAAAGCACTTTGTAAAAGCCTGTTTTATGCTAAACAAATGCATCAGGTTATGTTTTTATTTTGAATATTTTAAAGCATCTTGCACATTGGTGCAGACTTGAAAAGAAATTATACAGACAACTTGCCATTAATTGCACAAGCTACCAACTCCGTAGCTGCAAATTGTCTGTGGGCTCACTTAGGAGCACTCCAAGCTACTGAAAACCATCCTCAATAAAACCTGCTCTGACTGCTGCACCTTAGAGAAATGGAGATTCCGAATCTGAAGGTAGTTCAGGTCCCAAATGCTGGCCCAGCTGCAGCTAGGCAAAGGGAAAGGCACATTTCTTCTCAACATCAGGGAAGGGACAGATCCAACACTGCAAATTCCTACCAAACAGGCTGAGATGGACAATGCTTGCTGACAATGACAACAAAAGTACCTCAATAGCACATGTAGAAGAGAAAACAAAACAGGCACCCTTTGAAAACCTGGCTATAGTTTGAAGTGGCCCCTGAGATCAAAGTTTTCATTTTCACTAACAGACTGAGGAAACTCTGCATCAGAAATCAAACTCTGCACGGTATTTGCTTATGGAATCTTTTTTGCTTTCTTCAATAAGGGAAAAAATTAATCCCTACAGGAGATGACAAGATGCCTTTTAAACTACATACCTCATTTCTGACTAAAATTACCTTTCAATAGTCTGGCACAGCTGCATGCTCCTATTTGCTTTTTGTTTTCATTAAGGGTTCCTCTATTATTTGTACCCATCCTATAGCATTTACGCCTGGCAGTGATGCACATTCCCTTGTCTACAATTCTTCCTACAGATAGTAGAGGATAAATTGCAATTAGATTTTTGTTATTGTAGATAATTAACTCAAAATGAGCTGTTAATTATATAAAAAAAACTAATGTTTTTTCAGTTCTTGATTATATTATTTATTTTACTTCTTACTTCAGCAAGTTTCCTATTCTAAAGGTATTTCACTATTTCCTTTAAAATACCAGGATATTTTTAAAGTAAGTTTTGCTTATTTGAAGACTGAAATCAAGTTCTGTACTGTGAGATTTGCTAGAAGACCTCTCATGTATGCCCTGTAAGTCAGAGAGGGCTGATTTTCCACTAGTGTTCTGTTGGAATTTGCTGTAACAAGAACTGTTTTATACATCAATTAAAAACCAAACACCACCACCACAAAAAAAAGAAAAAATTATTTAAAAAAAAGAGCTCCGCATCATTAAAAAACCAAAACAAACTAAAAAATAAAAAGGCAGAAAAAACCACCAAAAGAGACAGTTAAAAAAAGAATGTATGTCTACCAGCTCTTCCTCTTTTCTAAGACATGGCCACACACTCACACACTCTCCCTATCTGTACCGAAGAAAACATCACTTACATATTCAAATGCATAAAAGAGATAAATGGACTTGTCTTCTATGGCCTCTTTAAGCCTTACATTAGAGTAAATTATTTAGAGACCATTCATCTGGTAACCTTTGCAAAACTGAAGATGGCATATAAGAAGAAAAACTTCCAAGTGTTTTGCTGCCAAACTTTGTAACCAGCTGGCATGGCACCTTGAGACTGCTCAAACACACAATAACTTTGAAAAATTACAGTAAATTAAACCAGGGGAATGAAGATAGGGCGGGGAACCTTTTGAAATCTGGGACTCTCATTTTGTTAACAGCACAGGTTTTCTTCATTTTCCCTGTTAGAATATGTAGATATTTGCAGGTTTTTGGTTGCCAAGAAGCTCTGCAGATGTTCTAGGTTACATTTTTCCTCCAAGGGGCTTAATGCTGCTGCATCTTAAACATGTCATGACTCTCCATCTTTTTTGCTACAGTGATAATACTTTGATCACTTCAGTTTGTGTGAAAATGAAAGAAAAAAGCATCTGAGCGCAACAAAGATATGCCAGTAACTCACAGCAGCCAAACACCTGGTTAAGCAGTGAAGAATTCCAAGAAAACTAACAACTCCTGCTGTTCTGGAGAAAAAAAAAAAAGGCTTATCCCTTTTCAGTCAAAAGGGATCTCAGAAAGAAAAATAAAATTAGTATAACAAAGTTAAAAAATAGGAAAAAATAAGGTATTGGACTCTTAGTTTATAAATGAATTATCAGTTCTTCCAGTATTCTCAGAACAGAGAAGTTTATTACTTTGAGGCATTCTCTTGTTGCTAAAGAAGAAGTCATTCAAAGCACAGCTGCTCATCTTGTCCACCATTCTTTGGTCAAAAGAACACCTATAGTTACAGCACAGAACAAGAAGCTGTTACTTTCTGAGAAAAGGAGAAAACCTTGCCAGTTTTTATTTGTTGCTTTCCTAATAAGCCTGCATCTTTTTCCAGTGTTAACTTGAATGCGACAGGGTAGGACAGAAGGAAAGTACAATAGTGTACTGATTGAAGTTTTAAATAGCAAGCAGGATGGAGATAAAGAGCTAAATATTGGCTTAACTCTGCTTCCAGTTATTTCAGTGGTAGTTTGCTCTCATCACACTGAAGTAGAGGTGTAATGAGAGGTATTTAAAAAAACAAGTAACTGTCACCAACCATGGAAGATCTATCTGAGAGTTAAAGGATAATCTATTATTTACATCAGGTCCAAATAAAGACTAAGGCGATGTTCTGATCTTAATTTAAAAAGTAACAAGCAGCACCTAGAACAAAGAACTAAAACTAAGATTTTGTGAAAACTCCATTTTGCACTGCACTAAGAGGTGGCACACAAAACCTGAAGCCTCTTCAGGAAGTCACCTAAACTTTGAGTAATAACAGGTCAGCATAACTATTGAGTTGACTCATAAAACACAGCAGCCTATGAATTTTACCCTTCCTGCAGAAAAAAAGCTCTTAATCTGAAACAAACACATGAACAAATACACTTGGCAGGCAACAGCACACTGTCAAGAAGATATATTGACCCTGTGAAGCACTTAGAAGTGAAGAGAGAAATTACCTTAGCCCCATGCTGCTGCCATTCATCATCAGAGCAAGATCTCTGGGTGCTTCAGCAATGGGCACATCTTCTGAGCCAGGTACATGGCCTTTAACCCTGGAAAAGATAAGTTAGTTGCTTCTGCAGCTGGTCAAATCACACCAGGAACTTGCCACTAAAAGGTGACCTATGCATCTACAAATGGGGCACTTTTACACATTAAGTGCTTTAGCAATTATCTTCACACTTTCAAATATAATTTTGTATTGGAAGTCTGGTTCAGGCCCAGTGCCTTTGCTTCTAAGGGTTACCACAGGGACAACCTTAGCCAGTGTAACCCAGTTGAGTATTAGCATTTCAGCATTGGAAAGGGAAAACAATAGGGAAAAATCTGCAGTCTTTTCATTACAGAAACAGAAAAGTTTCATTTGCAGATTACAGCACCAGAGCTCAAAGGCATCGTGTGTAAACGGCGTAGAACAGAATCTGTATAAGATGGTTCTGTGTCCTCAAACTATGGGCCCACAGATGATGCTCCACTCTTAACAGATCACTCCACCTTCTCCTTTCTCTCCAAAAAAGACAGAAAGTTAAGGTATACACGTATTTCTCCTTTTTTTGACTAAAATTCCTGTTTCCAAGCTTTGCTTTTACTGGGCTGCTCCAGTGAGGCTTGAACCAGGAGGAGCCACTGAACTGCACATACACACCATTTTTGATAGCTGAGCAACTATTTCACATGGAGAGTAGCTGCAAACTGAAAGTACTACTGTCATGTGAGGCTAAGTAGAGAAATGTGGAAAATTAAAAGCAGTTATGATGCAGTGCGGCAGAAAAAATTATCAACTCACACTTTAGCTAAAAGATTAGAAAAGTTTCTTGCCAATTACTGCAATTGGTCAAACCTCTTATTTGTCATTCAATGACAATGGACCTTAACCAGCACTCCCCCAGGCAGAAGGACAGACAAAAATAAATATTATCTGGAAAAAAAAATTTTCTTGTGTTGTTTTTTATGCTGTTTTGATGTTCTAACTCAGTTAGAACCTCCTGACAATGAAGCAAAGGTTATTTGAGCTTAGCTAAACAAATTTTTATTGTTAGCAGTATATAAAATTACTGTGTTACCAAGTGCAAAATGAATTATATATTTGGAACTGAAACAAAACTGTGATGCCTAAGAGATTTACCTCTAAATATCAAGCATTTAATTCTAAAGATACTCTTAAAAGAAATATTTTTAAGAGAAAACACATTATATTCCAGTTGTTTTCTTAGAGAGAATATGGCAAATCTGACTTCACATGTACCTGTGAAAAGAGATCACAAAAGTGCAAGGTCCTCAGATTGGTCATATATGTTTTTTTTCATAGAATTCTTTTTAGGTAGCCTAAAGCTCTGTAAACCACAAAGGACTTTTTCCAGAAAAAAAATGTAGCTACAATAGATATAATGGTACTAACAACCACATCATTACAGATATTTAAGGTGCATTTTTTTCTGAACTTATGCCTCCAAACCTGAAAATTTTCCATTAGGAAAAAAAATCCACCAAAAAATTAAGTTTGTATGTCCTTCATATCTACTTGTTTTTCATTAGAGGGATGCATGCATAGAATTAAGGTATTTGATGATTAAGAATCCATCTGTTCCTACTTAATTCTCACCTGAAGTCATAATCCTTTGTTAGCAACTTCAGTCATTTTCAACACACACATTTGTGATTTCCTCCAAGACAGGTACTTTTAAAGCCACATAAACACATTATTTTCAATGTAAACAACAATCCAAGAAAACAAACAAAAGACGACCTAGATTATCGTACTCTCTTTTACAGTCTGAAAAGTAACCAGGGGGCTGAAATGAAGAAGGGTAAGTGATGTATTCCTCCATGGTGGTTACAGTACACGGATGTAGGAAGTGGGTCATCTAATGCAGACTCTCATGGGCTGCTGCTAGCAGCTGCCATATTAAAACAGTATAGAAATATCCATCCCTGTGAAACACTCCTACCGCCTCTTCCAAAAGACTGCAGATTTTTCTCTATTGTTTTTCCTTTCTAATGCTGAAATGCTAGTACTCAGCTGAGCTGCAAGGGCTAATTTAACCTGCTTCCATTCACTGTTCTGCTCACTTTAATAACATCATACCAAAAAAAACAGTTGTTCCCTATTTCTCAAAGACTATTTAGATTGTCAGAAAAGTGTTACCTTCTGCAACAAACTCACAGGGCTTCATCTCACATTTCTATGGCTGTTCCATTTCCCTTCAAGTTTTAAGCAAATAATGTGCCTCAGTATTGGCGTTCTCCCTTTTCACTAACATTGCTGAAAAGAAAATGTCTTCACTACACTGCGTTTCCTTCCTCTTCCATAAATATATGGGGAAAAACTCCATATATTTTTATATATTCCATATACAAATATATATATATATATATATATATACACACACATATATATATGTGTGTGTGTGTACATAGGTAACGATCTTCATCTTTTCTATAAAACACACTCCTTCCAGTCCCAACCTAGGAGAGTGCAACCCTTCAAAACTGACCTTTCCAAGGAAGGGAGAATGCCACATTTATGTCATCCACGCTCACACTGCTTTCTTGCCAAATGTCTGTATTCTTTTCAAGTGCCTGCACTAAGATCAACCTCTCATTTTCTTCTACTGCTTCTCTTTTCCAACCTAGTCTTTTAGCAGTGTTTTTCTTCTGCCTTTCTTTCTACCACATACTGTTTTCCTCTGCTGCTTTCCACAGCTGTCATGCTGCTTCCCAACAGTATACACTAACAAACTAAAGTCTCCTCTCCTCTGAATCACTCTTAGAAATTGTGCCATAAGCCTTGCCTGTCTTGTTCTATTCTATTTATTGTTGCCTTGTTCTGTTCTCCCACTTAAATCAACTATTGCCCATGTGCTTATTAGAAATTTTAGAATTTTTTTAAATTGTAAGTCTCAAAATCACCTGTTATAATCCATACGGGATTGGTGTAGTTGCTGTTGTTTTAGGAGCAGTTTTGCTTCTTGCTTAGTCAATAAATGTTGGAGTCGCTCCTTTTCAATTTCCAGCTCCAGTTTTTGAAGAAGCAGCTTCTGCCTTCTTTCTTCATACAATCTTTTAGCCAGCTCTGTTTCCTTAGGGCCTGAGTCTGTGCTGTGATTCAGCCTAGAACCTCGACAGTGCCTGGAATGATCATGGGTCTTGTGAACTGTCCCTGAGTGTTTCCTAAGTACCTGGCTGACATAGCAGCTCTCTTCCATGCTCCCTGAGCTCCCCACGTGCCTCCAGGCACAGCCATGACTCACTTGCTGAGGGCATGCACTCTGAATTTCACCTGCCCTCTGGTCCATCTCCTGAGCTTGCTTTACATGGTGAGGGCTCCTCTGCTTGGCTGGGGAAATCACATTGTTGCACTTTCTGTGCAAGTCATTTTCCATTGGATACTCCTTCAGACATTCCTGATGGTTGTAATGCATTTCAGTCCTGTAATCGTGGTTATTCCTGCAAGGCTGAGAAAACTCAACATGCGCTGGGCTCACAGCCTTCGGTGCTCTGCTGTTCTTATGAAGAGTCCAAGGTCCCCCAACACCCAAGTAGGAGCTGTCCAGCCCCAAAGGGTGCTGCTGGCACAAGCTCTTCCCACTGGATGCCTGCAACAGGAGAAACAATTTCCTGTAAATCACTAAAATTCATCTTTGTTCATCAATTTCCCTCAGTAAATGTGTGCTCCTCAAAACAGAGCTGCTGGTCCATGTTGATGGACATGCAGCCAAACCCCACAAAATGTTTACCAGAACACAGACACAAATGTGCTATCAAATCTACATTTCATTCCATCTACACAAGTGTAATAAATGTAAAACTACTGTCTGCAGGATCCTCAGCATAAAATGAGTCACTTCAGAGCATCAAGTAGTTGTGAGCATCTAGGGTTACATAAAATCAACTTGAAGAGTGGCAAAAAACATTAAATGTTAAGGTTTGAAAATGTTTAATTTTGAATACCGAGCCAAAAAATCCATTCAGCCACTATAAATACTCTTTGATTGGCCATTACACAGCAGGAGATTTGATGTAAAACATTTCACCTTGCACTGAATGGTATATTACTTACCGCTGGAAATTTGATGAGAGTTTTTGAAATATCTTTACAGAAACACAGATAAAAACCAACTACTTTCTGTAAAAAATGGTTGTACATCAAAAGCTGTCATTTAAATACAAAACGTTTAAATACAGCTATAAATGTAAGTGATTTTTCAATTAAGCTGGGCAAGTGATTATAGTCTGATAAAACTCTGAAGAAAACAAGCAACTGTAATTCACATTTGTCAACCCAGTACAAGCAAATTCCAGTGGTTTTGTTACAGTCATGGATATTATGTAATAGACATCACAATCCTAGTTACATCCTGGAGTATCTTTGCACTAAGGCTCATCTAGGCAGTTAAGCATTTGAGCTTTTATGAACATCACAACAGCAGTGTATCAGGCACACACATTTCTTTTGCTAGAATTGCACATTAATTTCAATAACAAACTGAATTTAAGCTTCTCCAGCCTTTGGGACCTTCCACAAAGATATGGGACTTTTTAATTACAGAAGCCAGATTTGTTAAAGATAGCAAAACTACTGCAGTAAGTGGTTTAGCAAGGAAATTTGGAATCCACTGATGAAAAAAAAAAAAAAAAAAGTATTTTTTGCCCTCTGGGAATGCTTACAACAGAGAGGTATTGTGCACACAGAGTGCAAGACAAATCAGCCAGACCCAAACCACTCGAATTTAGGAATGCAAGCAAGTGTCCAGCAATGATTAGAAGAGAGATATAATACAAATCTATGCAGCATTTATATGTATAATTTAGATTCTTTTTTTAATAAATAAACAAAATACCAAATATACTCTGCTGCCCTTCAAGACAACCAATTACAAGTTTCTTGTAGACTTCACAGAATATAAATTAATGTGGATTAGCACCTGAATACTGATATTTTATTATTTCCAGTTTTGTGCATACAAATATATCCTCTCTCCCATGTGATTGAAAGCCAAGGATGTCATGTTTTGCCCCAAAGGGCTCAGTGAGTTGGAGGCATTTGCATTAATGTCAGTGCTAAATGTCTGAGGAAAGTCTGGTGCTTGGACTGGGTGAAAAGTGCAGGACACTAAAATATTTTAAAGTCAGAGGGGCTGGCAGGGCAACTGAGCAGAAATGCAACATGCTGCCAAAAAGACGGAGTTTTGTTATTTATTATTTGCAGCATGCCATCCTTGTTGGCAATATTTTCCAGACAAATAAAGGCTACAGAGAGCCCTTTTAATCTGAATTAGACAATACAGAAAAGGACGATGCAGTCTCTCATTTCCCACATCACCTGTTTCTGGTTGCAGAGAATTTAGGGCACCTACAGGAAGAGGCTTTCAAGGTGGAGGGCTCTCCAGTCCCCACGGACAGCAGAAGGTCTCAGATCTGAAGATATTCTTAGAGCATCCTATCAGGGCTGGCAGTGTAGGGTGGCCACAGAAAGCAAAGACCTGTCTTTCTGCAACCCATAAATAGTAGTTAAAAAGAACACTTATAAAAAAAGGAAACTCAAATGATAAAAACATCTGAGAACACCACCTTTATTTTAGCAGTTTGCTGACTGAAGAGACAAGAGAATGTTAAGAAATCTAAGCACATGAATGAAGATTTTACAAAATAATCATCAGGTTTAAGAATAAAGGTCCACATTGCAAATTAACTTCATGGCTGAGACTCTATTACGAGTCCCTGAAGGCCCTAAAAGAGAGGTACCAGTTAGCATTTGTTGACCTTGGCCGCCATTAAGTCTGCCCTGATGGTCTCAGAAATGGCATTGACATTTAAAGACTTCATAACAAGGCAGAGAAACTTTAATGTTATTTCACAGATACAATATGTTTGCAGGGGGGGAAATTCTCATTAATGTCATTGAATGTGAGTGGGATTTTCTTATTTCTTTAGAAGGAGGAGGTCATGTTAGGCAGAAGACTGAGTTTCAATATGCCTTTGATGGCTACTCAGTACTATTCAGGGTCTAACTCCAAAGAAAAATTAACTATTGGGAGTCAGAAACTAGTCAACAACTTTTTTTTAGTAATTTGTGGGTTTTCTGCTAAAGCTGTAGTTGAAGATACAGCTGGATGGTAGACATTCCAAGGAAAATGGACTGACATTTACACTTTTGAGGGATGAAAAGAGACTGGTGTGTGACATGACAGATCTGCAAAATGCAGGCCAGGTAAAGGGGAAATGTAGAGGAAAGAAACATTGTGAAGACTCGCCTTCTTCTGTGAGTCTAAAGACACACAAGCATAAGGAATCAGGTAATTTTACAAGATGAGTTTAAGAAAGATATTGCCTACAGGAGGCATGGAAGTCATGACAGGCCATGGTGGAACAGCTGTGCTTGCTCCTCTAAGGAGCTCTTCCAGGCTTGCTGTGCCATATTTAAAGATACAAGTCCCTCTAACTGAGGCTTAAACAAACTCAGACTGCTCCTTGTAAGATAAGGAGTTAATAAGACTTGATCAGATGTGAAACTCTTGTGAAACAAGGAGATACTAAAAATGGTTTTAATAATCTTTAGAAGGATTTAAAGATGGAGACAGGTGTGGAAGTCTACAAAGTCTTTACAGCAACACCAGTAATTTTTGCTCAGGGATTCAGCGCAGAGCTTAAACAAACACCCAGTCCTTAAACTTCCTACGAACAGACAAACAGTGCACCAGTTTTATGCATGCAGCATTATGATCTCTGCAAATTGTTCTTAAATACAACTTGTGTGCTTTGCAGTTCTAATTCACAGTGCTGGCAGAGGAAGCACAGTTACAGACTGACTCCAGCACAAAGGGCTTTGTACTGCAAGGAATGAACTAGTAACAAAGCATATCTTTACAACACCAGCCCAGGCAAGGTCTGGACAAATTTCATCACACGTAGAAACACGTTTAAGAAACAGCCCAAAATCATTACCTTCAGACGTCCTGCATGCTGAGGGACAAAAGCTGGCATCCCAGCTTTTGTAAATACAAAAATGTATGTAAAATACAATGCTGTAAGAGCAAAATTGCTGGAGATGCTAACAGCGTTAGGAGTTTAGTTCATAGCACCCAGGGCTGTAGTTTTTAGCTGAAATATGTCTGAATACTGGCAAAAGAGACAGTGAAGTAAAATAATTCTCAGTTGTATCTTGAGGACATTTCTCCAATCTGGATTTTCAGCTCAGGAGTTTCTCTTGGTGGGGTAGAAAGAGTGGAAGGTTGATTCAGAACTAGTCTGTTTTTCTGATCTAAGTGGGGACGCAGAAGGAAACCCAGAAGAATGAACAGAAGCAGCAACCAGAGGAGAAATACAGAGATTTAAAGATATTTAAAGATGACACAGAGACACACAGAAACCTTCAAGAGCACCATGGGCACATACTTAATGGCACGTACTCTTCACCAGTGTAGTTGTTCTTTGGACATGATCAGCAAAATTTATAAGGAAAAATTTGTTCATTGGAAGCATTGTCAAGTCCTGGCACAGGCTGTCCAGGGCAGTGGTGGAGTCACCAACCCTGGAGGTACTTATGAGACATGCAAATGTGATGTTTGATGATGATTTTTAGTGGTGGACTTGGCAGTGCTGGGTTAATGGTTGGACTCCGAGGTGGTTTCCAACCTAAACAATTCTGTGACTCCATCAGTGACCCAGATGACACCCTCACTAAGGTATACAACCTAAACCTGGAACTCAGTCACCACTCTGAATGCTTGATATATGGGTCTCATCTGAATAAAGCTTGGCTTTGGGTTTCAGGTCTATCAACAGTATAAGCACTTGCTTTTGTCAGCAAAATGAGCTTATTATATAAATAAACTCAGATAGGATATTGGGGCAACAGAAATCCTGTTTTTAAGAACAATTACATCAAATTACAGGACTGTTTGAAGTACATTACCAGTGATTAAGGAGCTATTCTTTCCAAGATTCTGTAAGAATTTATCAGGGAGAATGAAAAACCATAAAGATTTTAAAGTATATTAGTAGGATCTACTGAAGTCTATAAATTTTTTTCTTTAACTCATATAATCCTTTGTTAAAATCTGTACCATAAATAACCCAATATCAGTTATTACAAAGTGCCATGTAATAGTACAGCAACTGTCTCTGTCACTACCTAAGATAAATACAGTAGATAACTCCTAAGGTAAGCCGACCATTTTTCAAGCAAGAAACAAAGCACTATTTTCTGTAGAAATTATGTATAGCTATGATTGCCATATTCCACTGAATAAAACAAGTGGTCTCAAATGAAAAATACCATGAATGACAGTCACGAACCTGTATTTTTCCTGTAGAAATCTACTGAACTCAACATACTGAAAAGGCGTAGCTAAAAAAAAACATAGTATCACATCACAAAAAAGTGAATCTATAGCTGCTAGCTAACAGCAGAGGAACACCTCCTATATTTGTGCTGCCTTCAGTATTTTTTCTCCTCTTTGTTAAGAGGGTTTGAGCTGGCATGCCAGGTGCACAAAAAAACCTGCATTCAAAGTAGCATGTGAGAATTTGCTGGCGCTCAGCTTTAAGTGTATATTTTGCATTCATAAACATGTCACCCTTCTTCTCCAGCTAC